AGGTGGGTGATTTGGAAAAGTTTCTGTAGCAACTTTCTCTTAGGAGGTGATATTTGAGTTGATAAGTGAAAGATAAGATAGGAGATAACTGAGTGAAGACCTGAGGATGTTTGTTGTTGTTATGTGCCATCGAGTCATTTGTGACTCATAGTGACCCTATCTATGTACAAGAGTCCTAAACATCGTTCTATCCTATGCCAACCTCACCGTCTCAAACACATTCTTTCCCACCACCCCAATCACAGGATTGATCCACCTCATGGAGGGTCTTCCTCTTCTGCGCCATCCCTCCACTCTCACAAATATGAAGTCCCTCTCCAAGGACCAGTCCCTCTTTTCAACATGCCCAAAGTATGTCAGACGAAGCTTCAGAATCCTTGACTCCAAGACCTGAGGATAGAGAATTTAAAATCGAAAAGAGAAATCAAAGCCCAGAGATGCCCCACTACAAGAAAACAGCACAAAAGAGCTACAAAGTTCTGTTATCAGCAACTGGAAGCCATTTCAGTTAGTCTAGATTTCTCTAGTTTTCCGTTTATTTCTTATCTATTTGAGAAGATTATTGTCTGTGATCATCAATTAGCAGAAATATGAGGATTTCTACTTGGAGAACTTAGACCTTGAAGATTGCATTCTTAAGGCTTGGCAGTCTGTTTAAGTTCTATTGCTTATTATTTCACAAATAGCAATAATGCCATTTTCATTTACTTTCTAACTCATTTTCTCTTCATAATACATGCTAGCCGTGGCACTAATGTCTACCATAGTCTCCCAAGAAATTTAGAATTTGTGGCAATATTTGTAACAAAAGAAATCATGCCATTAGATCTAGTTCATTCTAACTTTTGTGTCTTACCTCCATATTTTTATATTTTTGTGATTTACTTCCATATCTTGTGTTTTGTATTTTACCTCCATGTTCCATATTCTCAGGAGAAAGAGAAACCGTCTCCTCCCACGTGATTTACAGTCTGTGAAAACCCACCGTGGTCAGTTATGTGTAGGCTCCAGCTTGGCAGCAATGAGTTTGAGGGGGTTTGTTCTAGTTTTCCCTTTGGGGCGCTCTGGTGTTATTTTCACTTCCCTATCCTTTCCCTAAGGAGCTCTGGTGGCCTCACTGTGCTGTCCAACCAAAGGCACACAGCTCAAATCCACCAGTTGTCCTCAAGACAAAGATGGGCAGTCTACTCCTGTGAGAGTTACTGCCTGGAAATCCACTGGAGCTGTGAGTTGGTTCTGACTCAACAGCACACAACAACAACATCTTTTTTTCCTAGGGGAGCTCCGGTGCAGCTCTGTTGTGCCATTTTCTTGTAGTGGCACTTCTCTGGGGTTCGATTTCACAGTTCTCTCTACTTCCAGTTCTCTATCCTCAGGTCTTCACTTACCTTACTTCTTCACAAATATCAATCACCTTTCCCTCTTCGTTTTAATGCGAGCCTCTCTTCTCTCCTCTTTGCTGTCTATTAATGGCATCAGTGAACCAAAAGTAAATCAATAACAAATATTAGAAATTTTTCCATTCAGCTTCGAAATGGATACAAAAGATTGCCATCTCCTTTCAAATGGTGAGATTCTTTTGGTTCAAAGGTAGCCATAAGTTTGTCACCATTCAACTGTGCCATGTTTCTTCTAATGAGCTAACTTTTGTTCCCCCCCCCCACCCCATGTTGTCTTCTAAACAAAGGATCTCAAACTTGAACCACTGGAAGAAGAAGTTATTGAAGGGAATACGAAATCTGTAAGTACTTTACCTAGTTTACTATTTCATAATTAGTCTTTTAAACTATGGCTTAATTTCTTTTCATAATTGCTGTCTCAATGAGCACTTGAAAAAGTGGGTGTGATGCATTGTTGCAAGGGTAAGTAGGCTTTTGTGAGTTGTACTCTGTGTAAACCTAGTGCCTGTTTCATCGAGGTTTCGTGGAAGTACTGGGTATGTAATAAGAACACAATAAAAAGTTTATGCATGTATAATCATTGAGTTTTAGAATAACTGGATGAATACAAATGGCAGAGATGGCCACTGTTCAACATATATATCATAGACACATTTTTCAGACCCCATAGTCTGCAGATTCCACCTGAGCCTACCTATGTCCTATCCATTATTTTTCCTAACATTTGACTCAGAACCATGCACACAATAGATTCTTAGAAATCATTTTTTCAGAGAAAAACCTGATGTCTAGAGAAAAGGAAACTTTTCTACCTTTGGAATGAGAACTTCATTGAGGGTGGTGCTGGTTTCTAGAGATAGGAAGATGAGCAGAGTGATCTCAGTAGGTCCATTAAGACATCACCAAAGGAAGTTAATGAGATATTTAACGAATTGAAAAATAGTACTTGCTTTATTATTTTATGCAATTCTCATGACTTAGTCCGTGGGGACCTTGCCTCTGATGGCTGAACCCCACCAGCAGCTTTGCAAGAGAAAGGTGAACAGTCTCCTCCCTCCTGCTGGAGATTCAGCCATGAATAGGTTCTCACTCTGTGGCAATGAGTTAAATTTGTAGTTTTATTTTGAGGCAGATGTTTATAGTGTCTTCCCTTTGAGGAAATCAAATGTTTGCAATTACATTCAGTGCAGGACTGGATCAAACATCTTAAGCAGCTCACTTTTATAGGACCTCACTTTCCCCCCTCAATATCATAAATGTACTATATATTTTATAGATTATAGAGGACCAGTGACACTGACATGAAACAAAAATAGGAAATAGCTTTTCTTTCTTTACAGAGCACTTATTACATAGGCACTGATGGCATGAAAGAAGGTGTGACCTGTGGCCAGGGATCTGCCCACCTGTCCAGAATTTTAACACAGAGGAATCTTAAAAGAGGAAGCTTTGCAGGATTCTCGGGTTAGCTTAGTCTATTGTTGCTTAACGGTAGGTTCTATTGAGTCATCTCTGACTCATAGTGACTTTAGGAAGTGGACTGAAGCACTGCCCAGTCCTGCACCCTGCTGACTCTCACTGCTGTGTTTAAACCCATTTTTGCAGCCACGTGAATCAATCTCATTGAGGGTCTTCAGTTTATTTGCAGACGTAGCACAGGAGAGGAAGACCCTCTATGAAGTGGATTGATTCAGTGACTGTGGTAGTGGGGGTGGGTGTGTCGGAGACAGTGAGATTGGCACAGGATAGAGCAGGGTTTAGGGCTGTTCTACATAGGGTTGCTATAAGTCACAGGCGACTTGACGGCACATAACAACAACAACAACTACCTAGCCATGATGTCCTTCTGCTAGTAATTGGTCCTCCTAGTAGCACGGCACACCAAACACTTGGCACAGGTGTTACAATGAGAACTCCATAGCTCTGAATACCTTCCCCTGATAAAAGGTATATTTTTGCTACATTTTCAGCGGGGGTTTTTTTCCCTTCCAAAGACAAGGATGTGGTCTGTATTAACACCTCAGAATTCCATGGAGTGTGAAGTGGTAGATTCTGGTGTGCAGGTGAGAAGAGAGGGTCGTGGAGCACAGGTACCATGGTCTTACATCTGTACCATCTCCTCCGTTGTGTTCATGGGGAACATTGATAGCAGCCCAGAGAAATGGACATAACTTCTCTAACATTGAGAGCCAATTGTCTGACCTTCAATAATTTCCTGATGAAGACTGTTATCTCACTTCAGCCATGACAGAGAAAAACCATCTAAAGATTGATTATAAAAGGTGTCACACAGTTCCATTCCCCAGTCCCTGAAAGGGAAGAGAACCAGTGTGAACATTAAAAGGTCTATCGGCACTCACGAAAGTACTAATTCTGGAGTGTGTGGAAGTATTGTGTAGAAGTATTTAACTAATAATGGTGACACCCTTCAGTGGCTACTATTGTTTTTAAAACACAAAGCAGGAAAGGTAAAATAACTGTGCTCCTTGTTAATAATAATTTTAGTTATTTAAGTTTTTCAGATATGTTGTTGTTGTTGTTGTTGTTGTTGTTATGTGCTGTCGAGTCGCTTGCGACTCATAGCAATCGTATGTACAACAGCTCTAAACTCTGCTCTGTCCTATGCCAATCTCATTGTCTCTGACACACTCATCCCGATTGCCCCAATAACCTAATCAATCCACCTCCCAGAGGGCCTCCCCCTCCTGCAACTGCCCTCCACCCTCCCAAGCATGATGTCCTTCCCTAAGGACCAGTCTCTCCTTACAACATGACCAAAGTATGTCAGACGAAGCCTCAGAATCCTTGCCTCCAAGGAGCAGTCCGGTTTAATCCTCTCCAGGATGAATCTGTTTTGTTTTCTTAGCAGTCCATGGTACCCTCAACACTCTTCTCCAACACCGAAGCTCAGAAGCATCAATTCTCCTTCTATCCTAGCTCTCTGACTCATAACAAGTGATTGCAAAGACCATGGTCTGTACCAGATGCACCTTAGTCTCCAGAGACACACCATTGCTCTTCAGTATTTTAGAGAGGTCCCTAACAGCAGACTTTCCCATTGCAATACGTCTTTAATCTCCTGGCTGCTGTTGCCAAGAGTGTTGACTGTGGAGCCAAGCAGACTAAAGCTGTGAACAATCTCAACCTCTTCACCATCCATCCTGATGCTGCCAATTGGTCCAGTGGTGAGAATCTTTGTCTTCTTGACATTGAGCCTCAACCCATATTGAAGGTTGCAGTCCTTGACCCTCAGCAGCAAGCGCTTTAGGTCCTCCTCAGTTTCAGCAAGCAGGGTTGTGTCATCTGCATATCCCAGATTGTTGATAGATCTTCCACCAATCCTGATGCCGCATTTCTCCTCATAGAGCCCAGCCTCCTGGATGATCTGTTCTGCATACAGGTTGAAAAGGTATGGAGACAGGACACATCCCTGGCATACGCCCTTCCCAATTTTGAACCATGCAGTGTTTCCTTGCTCTGTTCTGACAACTGCCTCTTGGTTCAAGTATAAGTTTCGCATTAGCATGATCAAGTGTTCTGGGATTCCCATTCTTCTCAGAGTCAGCCAGAGTTTGTTATGGTCCACACAGTCAAACGCCTTTGCATAGTCAATGAAGCACAGATAAACATTCTTCTGGTATTCCTTGCTTTCAGCCAAGATCCATCTAACATTAGCTACAATATCCCTAGTACCACAACCCCTTCTAAGCCCAGCCTGGACTTCTGGCAGTTCTCTGCTGATGTACTGTTCCAGTCGTTTTTGGATAATATTCAGTAGAATTTTGCTTGCATGTGAAATCAATGAGATTGTTCTATAGTTTTCACACTCTGTTGGGTCACCCTTCTTTGGGATGGGAACAAATATAGATCTCTTCCAGTCAGTTGCCCAAGTGGTTGTTCTCCAGATTTTTTTACACAACTTGGTGAGCACATCCAGGGCAACATCTGTTAGCTGAAATATGTCAATTGGTATACCATCTATTCCTGGGCCTTATTTTTTGCTCTTTCCTTCAAAGCAGCTTGAACTTCTTCCTTCATCACCATAGGCTCTTGCTCATATGTTGTTTCATTAAATTCTTCTGTGTCTGCCAATTCCTTTCAATACAATGACTCAGTATATTCTTTTTTTAAAAAAAGTTTTAATCCTCATTCTTGCTGCTAAAAAAAATTATTTAATGTTATGCCAATCTTTAAGGATAAATTTAGAGGTACTTAAGATAATATGTGTTTAGAAAACAGAACTATATTTTGTAATTGCCAGTATTATGCTTTGTTCTTGGTACAATCATCTTTGTTTCTTCTTTTTGCATCCCAATTATAAACCGTGGCCATATTGACTTCTGTGGTAGTAAATTGATCTCATAGAAAGTCTAAGGCTTCCTCAAGAGAATCAAGATTTTTTGTGGCAGTTGATAAGTTATTTTCCAACAGTGCCTGAGCTTCATCAGTATCATACTCAAGCATAACATTAGCCCCCAGCCACAGACACACTTTATCAGTAGGAGGAACAAAAGCTTTGCAGTACAGGTTGTCTGCCAGTCAGAATCTGGTCTCCAGTGAATTGGTGGACTCTTTTTTCTTCTGCATGTATTTTAAAATTTCTAAAATCTGCTTAATTTCTGGAATCTGACCTTTTAGGCTCCTTTTCTTTGGAGCAAGGTTGAGCTCCATAAATTTATACTTTTGGTATTGTTCATCCAGCTTCTTGAGTACTATATCTGCAGTGTCATTCCCAGGTTGTTTCATGAAGGAATCTACATCTTCCACAAATACGGCCTCAGGAATCCCCAGATGGAGCCGCCGCCCATTCCTTGTGGCCACTTCTCCAAAGGCACAAGCATCCTTAGTGACTGCCATCTTCGTGAAGGGCCTGTATCCAGACATTCGACTACCTGGCCCCCCTCAGTATATGCTTTCCATCTTTTTTTGATACTTCCTGGATCGTTTAAATACTCTGCCTAAAGCATCCTTGATTATAGAACTTCTAGGTTTGAATTTGTTCTTTAGTTCCTTGAGCTTAAGAAATGCTGAGTGAGTTTGGTCCTTTTGATTTGGCCTTTGCACATTTCATTGTAATATTTTACTTTGTCGTCCTGCACTGCCTTTTGAAATCTTCTATTCAGCTCTTTAGTTTCTTAAATTCTTCCTTGTGCTTTGGCTTCTCTGTGCTCCAGTGCAATATTCAGAGTTTCTTCTGACATCCATTTTGGTCATTTCTTCCTCTTCTGTCTTTGTAATGAACGTTTGCACTCTTCTTGGATGATATCTTTGACATCCTCCCACAACTCATCTGGTCTTCGCTAATTTGTGTTCAAGGCCTCAAACCTGTTCTTGAGATGGT